ATAAGTTTTGCGTCAGTTAAATTAAGTCGATGGTCAATCACCTAAGCTAATAAAAATAAAAAGAGCAATTATTCCCAATATTTACGAAATTTTAACTCCTTAGAATAAATTACATCAACAAAAATTTGCAAATTCCTATATTTATGAAATGTAGAAAAAATGTTGTAAACAAGTGAAGATGTAGAGTGATAAACAGCGCTACATTCCATTGTGGCATCGAAAAAAGGTTTTAAAAATTGCTTCACACAAAATGCAAGAGATCATTCTCAATCTTCCAAATTATGCTCGGGTTCATATGTATGTCTACCATTATAATATATTGAAATAATTTTATCATAATTTTCACACGATTGTAACATAAGATACGTAGAGTTTCATCTATGATTACATCAGTGACAAATGATTTCTCTTGTAAGCCATACTCTGCACACAAATTGTTAAATGTTTGCTTTCTTGCTGGTGACACAGTAATATAATTTATTGTTTGTCTAATTTTATCTAAAAGTAATTTTATATGTTCTAATCCATCTTTTACAATCAAATTGATAATGTGACGTACGCAAAGTTGATGAAAAAATAAACTTCAAAATGTAAATTTAAAATCATTAATAAATTTTTCGATAACAACTTTATTCAAAGTAGCATTATCAAAAGTAAAATTTCAAACTTTTTTCTTGTATACTATATTTTTGTATAATACCTTTTAAAATCAAGTATATATTAGTTGTATTACGAGGATATTCTACACGTCTGAATGTAATAATCATTTTATGCATAAGCCATAGGTGATCAATGTAATGAGTTGTAGCAACAATATAACTTTTTTTATTAACACCGATCCATAAATTAGAGGTAAATAACGAAAAGTATTTCTACAATAAGAAATATACCTGGGTTGTAGATAATTTTGCACAAGTCGGGGGTAAAGTGTACTGACTCTGTCATTGTAAGCGGCATCTGTGCTGTAGCCACGTATGCAGTCATTCATTCACGAAATCTTTCATGTGAATATACACCAAGGTGGAAAGAATAGAATCAGAACCGCTAGACACTAGTTTAGTTTGTTTCGAGTCAAGACCGAGTGATTTTACTTTGCAAATTCTTAATATGCGCCTATTCAAATGTGTTGTGCTTGAACCGGGCTTGCAACTAAGTTCTTTTTTCACAGTAATTGCAACGTGCTTTCTAAATATCAACTCCATTTTGAACACTAACAACAATCCGAGAATTCTTTTTTCGACCTTTTAATCTCAAGTACTTCTTCCTCTTCAATATCCACCAAATGAATTGGAACATTTTGAGATATATCGTAGTCAGATGGAGTACTCAAACTATGTTTGGAATCTATATTATGGAAAGAGACATAGCTTTTGTTAATTCAAATTGAACTACCTGGACCCGATGAAAAAAATGAAATCACTTTTTATTGACTTGTTGAGAGTAATTCTAATCTAGTTCATAGTCTATTAGAATTCATGCATTATCGACTTGGACATCCAAGAGAAATAATGACATGCTCAATAATAAATGACTCACATGGACATCTCTTAAAGAATTAGAAGAATCTTTTATCTAATGATTATCTACACGCTACTTGTTTGTAAGAAAAGTTAGTCATCAGACCTTCAACTTCAAAGGTTAAAGTTAGATCTCGAACTTTTTTGGAAAAAATCATGAAGATATATGTGGGTCAATACACTCATCATGTTAATTATTTCGTTATTTTACTATTTTAATTGATTCTTCTACCAGATTGTAATGCGTTTGCTTACTTTCCACTAAGAATGTAGCTCTTTTTGCTAAACTATTTGCCCAAAACTCCCAGCCTCTATTTGGGATTATGCCATATTACATTATGCATCATTATTTCGTATAAGACCGACTGCTTATTACCAATACTCACATTTACAACTTTCATTTGGTCATGAACCTAATATTTTTCGTATATGAGTTTTCGGTTGTGTTATCCAAGTTTCAGTTTCACCCCCTAAAGGTAATAAAATAAGCCCCTAACAAAGACTTGAAATTTATGTTAATTTTGATTCACTTTGAACCTTTAACTAATGATTAGTTTACCGTGCATTTTACAAATTGTAATTTTGAGGAAATGATTTTTTCAACTTTAGAAGGAGTAAAAATACATACTAGAAAACAAGATAAAATTTCTTGAAATGAACAACTCTATCTCACTTTGATCCACACAACAATCAATGTGAGGAAGATATTGAAAAATCATTCACTTGCAAAGATTTGCAAATCAATTACCTGATATGTTTGTTAACACAAGAAATGTGACAAAATCAAATGTACTAGCAAAAAATATTGCCACTATGGGATAATCTAATGTAGCAAATGAATCTCAAATACGGCAAAAGTATAGTCGACTAGTTGGTGCTAAAGACTCTTTACTTTGAAAGAGAAAAGTATAAGAGAAAAAACTAACTAAACACTTCAGGTGAATTATATAAGAAAAAAATTGATCAATCAAATATTAAAAAAATGGTTCCCGCATAATTACAAATGTTCGAAAATAATGAGATTTCAATAAGTTATTTTTTATTTCATAAATTATAAATACTATTGTTACAGACAATATTTTCGAATTTAACGTGACTCTTGAAATTATACAAAATGCGAATCCTGAATCACAATCCGTTAAAAATTGTCAACGTAAAAACGATTGAACAAAATGGAAAGAAGCCATACATGTGGAGTTGAATCATTTAGAGAACAGAAAAGTGTTTGGACATATAGTTTGAAAGCCTAAAAATATAATCCATGTAGGATACAACTGAATTTTTGTTGGAGAGATGAAAACTGCGAAATTATAAGATATAAAGTCCAACTTGTAGCACAAGGTTTCTCATAAAAGATCTAGAATCGAATATAAGTAAATATATTTTCCTGTAATGGATACCATCACTTTTAAATTTTTAATTATTTTGATTGTATCACAAATGCTTGACATGCGCCTTACTGATATAGTAAATGTCTATCTATACGGTTAACTTGATAGTGACGTATACATACAAATTTTTGAAGAACTTAAAGTACCAAGAATAAATGATACATACCTTAGAACTATGTTCTCAACATTAACGAATATTTGTTGAATGATGGTTATAAAAATGACAATATCTGCCTATATATTTTTATAAAGAAAACAAATATTGAATTTGCAATTGTGGCAATTTATGTTGGAGACTTAAATCTTCTCGAAACTCTTAAAGAGCAAATGAATTTGAAATGAAAGATTTGAGTAAAGTTAAATTTTGACTTGTGTTGTCTTGTGTTATGTTGTGTTGCATATTGAACATTATGGAGAATGATTATTTGTTCATCAATTTTAATATACAGAACAAATCTTAAAATATTTTTACATGGATAAAGCATCTTCCATGTTTGTTCGAACATTTATTGTGAAAAATTATCGATTTGACCACTTGAAGATGGAGAAAATATTTCTAGTCTTGAAATATCATATCTTAGTGCAGTTGATACTCAACTCAATATGACTATCCTGAAATCTTCTTACAATATATAGTTCTGCACAAACTCAAAGAAATTAGAATGATGTTAAACACATTTTTGTTGTCTAAAAGGTACCATTAATTTGAGAATATTTTATTCTCAAAAATAGGAATTTTTTTTAGTGAGATGTGCACATGTAAGTTATCTCTCGTATCCATGTAAAGCTAAATCATAAATAGTATATAACATTTTAAAATTATTTTGAAATTATTGCAATTCATGAAACAAGTCGAGAATGTATATAATCAATAAACACGACTCATCTTATCCATACATCACGTGGATTAACTTTAACAAAATATAGTCCAACAATATTATATGGAGATAATGTAACTTTTATGGTACAAATCAAATGAAGCTATACCAAAGGAGACGCGACGAATCTAATTTCTCCAAAAATTTCTATGCATATGAGTTTCAAAAGAATGACGACATCGATATTCAACAAATTCGCTTAAGTTATAATGTTGTTGATTTATTCACAAAAGTACTATGGACGTCTATATTCAAGAAATTGGTACATAGGATTGAAATGTGTCGACTCAAAGATTTTCAATGATTAATATCAAGGGAGTAGTTATACTATTTTTTCTTAGTCTAGGTTTGTCTTGATTTTTTTGACAAGATTTTAATGAAGCATTATTTTCTTTATACTCCAAATTTTAACAATTAACTGTACTATTTTTCCCTTTGTTTGATTTTTTTTTTACTGAGTTTTTATTGAACAATGAGACATTTAGGCTATATTGGTACCAATTCTCATTTTCAACAGTAAATCAATTCTTATTTTCAACCACACATTTTTCAATAAAATAATATTTCTATCACATCAATAATCTTATCTTCTTTTTTAACCACACATTTCCCATCATATCACTATTCAAAATCAATTCTTCCCCCAAAAAATTCCTACCAAACACACACTTATTATGAAAATATTTTATCAAAGGGGAGTGTTGTAAAATTATAGGATAATTATTAATATTTTTTTAGTTTTATCAAGATACTTAAATGAATCTAATCTATAAATATGAGTCCATTGTTGTAATTAAATTACACACTTAAGCCCTTGTTTGAACCCCATTTCGATGTTAAAATGAATTTTGTAATAGTAATTTTTTTTAAAAATGTATGGTTAAAAATTAAAGAAAAATTTTGAATTCACGTGCAAATTATTTTATTAATAGAACGTGTGGTTGAAAATGAGTTATTGAAAAATGGGCTCAAAAATTTGGTTTGACAAACGTAGTCTTATACATTATGGGAGTAAAATTTGAATTTTCGCGAGTTTTAGAGAAAAAAAAATGCTTAGAGAATGTTTGACTAACAACGGCTGAATCAGACTCGCCATCTCAATTGGGGTTAGGGCAGAAACTACTCACAGACGTACTAAGACAGAGAAAAGATTCAAGCGTACAAATCGTGTTCGTGGTTTCGCGATAGAGGGAGTGAGACTGCAATTACAGAAAATGCCATTCATATCGAAAATTCAGAGGCAGTCAGATTACAGTGCCTTCCCTTCACACCATCCCATCGTCATTGACAATGGCGGCTCCTATTTCCGCATTGGGTACCCCCAATTACCCTAATTTATCATGTGTTTTCTTGTCTATATATATATTCGAATGTGTTTTGCTTAATTTTGGTGAATTTCGTGATGTTGCAGCTGGGCAGGAGAGAGCGATCCTCGAGTTATTTTCCGCAACATTATTCAGAGGCCCCGCCACAAGATCACAGGTAATCTCAATTCATTTCCCATCGATTTTACTTCTTGTTTAGTTTCTTTATGAGAACGAAGAAAAAAGGTATAATCTTGTAGCGTCTATTATTGTTGTTGAAACGTTCCATAATAGCCTGTCAAATGCGGGTTAAAATGCTTAGGTACACTTGAAATTTTGGCCAGAGAAGGATTTGTCTGCGTTAATTTGGAGCAGATAGGGAAATATGATTTTTTTAGGTACAGACTCAGTGAAAAAACAAAAATGTGACTGACCATCTAGCCTTATTTTTTTTGAATTTCATTCACCCTTACCCCCTAAGACTCGCTTAAGTCTTATTGCTTGAGCTAAGCCTTGATCTCATAGCTGTCTATCTTTTATACATGCTCAACAATCCGAAATTGCCCTGTTCTTCCATATTTACTGGGTGCACTGGAAACCTGCTTTTGTAATGTAATTGTTTGGTGCTGGCCAAGGCACACATTGCAGGAAGACTAAATTTTGGGGATTTTATCTTTTTGAGTCATAGGACTTCAGTTTGGGTAAAGACGCTGTTGACAAAGTTAGGTGGAGCCACTCTAGAAGCGGACAATTCACTCTGGGAGAAATTTGATTTGGAACATGGAGTTTTTCAAATCGGAAAGTGGAGAATCTCCAAGTCTGTTGATTTCTTACCATTATTTGATGGGTGGAATTGTAATTTTTAGATTGGAGCTATTTTTTCCTTTGATGTTTTTTCAATGGAATCTGAAGTCAAAGGGGTCCATGAGAGTAGCTTTCTTTTGCTGGGAGGAAGACACTGAGAGTTTAATGACTAGGGTTAAGCTGAGAGAGAGGAGAAAAATTTAATTAGTCGCTGCTTGACCAAGGTGACCCAGCGGTCAAGTAAAGCTCAACAAACTAGATTCAGTAAGTACAATAGACAAACTTGACGTTAATTTGAGTTGGTTGAACTGAAGGCATCTATACAAAAAAATAAAAAATAAATAAAAATTATGGAATAGATGAATACTATTTTTAACAAAGTAAGAAATAGAAATTTAAACTGCAAAGGCTTTTTAATTTAAAATAAAATAAAATTAGAAGTTGGTCTATTTTTCAATCTGTCCATTAGAATATGATTATCTTGATAAATTCCTTGAAGGAAAATGCGTACCTCTTTGTTGAAATACTTGTTTGATTATAGTCATCCCATTTTTTCTAAAAATAATTTTATTTCTGTCCTTTATAGATTACTAATAAATGTTCATTGTTTTATATGTTACTTTCTTTTTGTAACTATGGTTTTTGACTTTGTTCTTCTTAATGCATTATATACTGCACTTCTTCACTCTCTGCATTTCAATATTGTCAATCTAGCTAGATTCTGAAGCTAGGCCTGCTTGGAACATTTCAATGTTATACTTGTCTATCAGCCGTATAGCTTTTTTAAGTGTGTCCAAGAAAAATCATCGAGGCATTTTATTCTAGCAAAGGTACTTGAATGTGAATTTTGAGTCATTCTATCATACAGGGTCTTATGTTCTGATGACAGCATATACTGATATATCATGTCATTTATATTATGGTGGTTTATATATATCGATGCTAGTTGCTACTAATAATGCATGCTAAAGTATTCCTGTTTTCTGCTGTTTGTTTGTTTTCCTACTTGCCCATGTAATGAAGGCTGGAGATTAAATAAAATGCCAATGTAGCCATGCACTGAGATTTTCTTTGTATCTCTCTCCATTAATGTGTCCATATGTCTAATGTTTTGTGTTTCCACTCATCTTTTTGTGCATACTATTTCTTCTCTTACGTTATTTTCTGAACTTCGGGGTTAAGTTGAATTAATTCTGCATCCGTTGATTTGTTCTTAATATAGGTGAAACGATCACAGTAGTTGGTGACCACAATCCTGCATTACTGAAATACTTTGACTGCACTAGGACGGGACCTCGTTCGGCCTTTGACAACAATGTTGTTTATCAATTCGAGATTATGGAATATGTAAGGCTACCTTCGCACGTATTTCTGATTAGTTACTGCCTCAATTTTTTCTTATATCTTTTCAAAGATATGCTTCCTTGCCTCTTACTGTCCCCTTTTAGGTGGAATATGAAACTTCTTTTAAGTATGGGCGTGGTTTAATGTTTGAGGATTAACAACACAATTTCTCACGACAACATAAATAGATAATTAGTAATGTTGTAAAATGGTTGCTGTAAGAAACTAAAATACAAGGCATACTGTAGAAAAACGTATGTCCAGTTTTATTGTTGAGGTCATGCAACGCTTCAAGTCAATGTAGATCAATAAACTTGTTATTAAAATTATCTAATGAATTTGTTCTTTTCGCTTATCAAGTTGTGCATTACGACCCAGATCTCATAGATCATTTGGGATGCTTTTATATTCAGTGGAGTTAAAATATGTCTCCCTCATACTTCACTTATAGAGTTCCTACTATTTTAGAGTTATTGCTGGGGGTCTAGCTAAACATTTTGGTCAAAATAAGACTTATGGCCCTAATGAAAGATAGAATTTATTGGGCTTCATTGAGAAGGGATATTATTCATATTATCTCGAGTGTCATGCGTGTTAGTTAAGTCTATGAAACAAATAATAGTTTCTAATCACCCTCTTGTTCTACATATCGACTTTGTTTTTGGATTACCTAAAATTGCTAGAAAGTATGATTTTTATTTGGTAGTTGTGGATAGATTCTCATCTATGGTCATTGTGTTCCATGTTCCGAAATTACTTATAATTCGAATACGATGTTGCTGTGGGTATTAATTTGATGTTGTCGGTCGGAGTTTTACATTGTGGACTAATGTTGGCGAACAATTTGGATAATAACTGCATTATTCAGTAATGTTGAGATTTCGCTCTAATTGTGCTTCTTTTTCTGGATTCTTCTTCTCTTATCTCTATTTTGTATGTGATTTCTTCCACCATTCTACATCCATTGTCACCGAACTTGCTCTTTCCTCCTGTTGAATCTCTCTCAAAATTTAGTTTTTATATGCGCCGGTTCAGTTGCTTTATATTTTATACACATTTCTCAACACTATTTATGATTGACGAGCCTAATTGCTTAATCTCCCTGACTAAATGTAAAGTGATGCACGCGGAATGTTTTCAAAAGGAAACAGCTCATCATAAGCCATCTTGAAATATACATCTCTTTTATGCTTTTAAAAGGTAAAAATTATATCTTGCACCGTGTGTTGGGAACCATGTCATTTTAGAATTATGATGTAATTTTTTGTAAACAGATTGTTGATTGGAAACTCTGGAAGCTTTTAGTGGAATATGTTATTTGCTGAATGCTATTGTGCTATTGTAGATTCTGACTTTTCTTCTCTTTTCTGCACGACTAGATTCTTGACTTTGGCTTTGATCGACTGGGCGCAGATCAATCTCAGGTAAAAATGTACTTCCATTTACTTATGTTAGTTTCATTTTGAACAGGGAGGGAGATATAGGAGTGTGTGTGTGTGTGTGGCTCTTCGTATTGGTCCATCACTCTTGAGGCGCTTTATCAATAGCTGACCTGATGAGTGATGAAAAGCAAACTTTCAGTTTTTCTATATTTGGTAGCCATTTTAAGAGATAATTGAGTTACTGCAATATTAATTTTATCTCTTTGTTTCGTTCGTAGAGATTCCTGGAGGTGGAGGCTTTGGTCATAGAATTTGTGCTGGTCATTTTGGGTCTTGCTTTTGATATATTATGATTCATGTTACGTATGATCATTAACTTTAATATACAGTTAAATGGTATAATAATTAATTTTCACTAGGTTAAACATAGTTTCTATTACTTAAAAATGATATTGAGACCCAGGCACCCAGCTACTTTCAGACCAGGCAACATTCTAAAATTTGAGGCACAAACAAAATTATAAATTTTGATACCAGTAAGTAGCAATATCATATCTGAAAATCCTATATGTTAAAAGACAAAACAGTGAGCAAAATCTGCTAATTACAACTGAATTAGACAATTCTCTTTCCTCCAAATGTTCTTGTTCATTAACATGACTAACGGCGCTGCTGGAGAAACAAGGATATCTTTTTTCCAATATTTTGGCAAACAAATTAGAATTTTGGTTTTTATTATACTTGGATTCACTCATTCTTATGATCTACTTTGAAATTTGATATGCTGTGCTGGACATCTTTGAGTTTTTCATGAAATAAATTAACTTCGTGATTTGCAAATTTTCAGCGTATTTTATCTTATGTTGCCTAAGTCTCTTTTTCCACTTTGATGGCAGAACAGATTGACCATCCTGTCTTGATTACTGAATGTGCTTGCAACCCAGTTCAGTCTCGTAGTAAAATGGCAGAACTCCTTTTTGAATCATATGGAGTTCCTTCAGTAGGTAATAGCAGTTCTTAACTCTCTCTCTCTCTCTCTCTCACATAATTGGCCGGAACGAAATTGTTTTTTGTTATTATCTTTATGCACGTTTATCATTATGCTATGAATGTGGACCTTCTCCATTTTCCACTTTCCTGGGTTTACAGACTCATGCTTTGCTGCTGGATTAACTTTTCTGTCTTCCTTGTCATTGCAGCATTTGGTGTAGATGCTGCATTTAGCTACAAGTACAATCAGCAACTTGAAATTTGTAATAACGATGGTCTAGCGATCTGCTCTGGCTTTAATACAATGCATGTTATCCCGGTATGTTATAGGATACTGATTTTGCTGATAAAACTTATCATAAGTAAATTGATGAATGCAATTGAAGTTGTGTACAAAAAGGCTCACACGAAGCATGTCTATGATAGCAAGTGTGTTTTGACATAACTGAAACAATAATTGCGTTCTAACCTCCATAAAATGTTAAGTTAATGAACCAAGTGTTTATTCTGAACCTCCAAATAGAATTCCCAACAACCGCCTTAAAATATTGTACAAGGACATGGTATCTTTTGATTTTGTCTGTCAAAGCATTAAGCACATTGCTTTTATATATTATTTTCTTGTGAATCTTGGTCTCCCTATTGCTGAGTCTCACTCTCCCCAATTTATATCACCTCCGTAGCTTTTGCGTTTGCAATTAAGCTCATGAAGAACATTTATTCACAAACTTTATAATTATACATTGAATATTTATAGAGAATTCTGAATAGGGATGGCAACGGGGCCCCGCCCCGCCCCGCTAAGAAATTCCCCATCCTGTCCCGTCCTCGTCCCGTTACCCGTTTAAATATGGCTCTGATACCAATTATCGGGGCTTGGGTGGCGGAATGTAAACTATTAAAAATGTATGAAAATGTAGACAATGGATGCCAATTGATAACATGTAGAATAAATAATTAAAAGACTTTTAAGCAAATAAATCTTCTTAATGTATGTTGAGATTGGATTCTTCTTCTTATGTTTCTGTCTGATATGCTGTCCTTGCCTCACTATTTTGGATCGTCTGGACTTATTTCCCTAAGGGACTCCTGCCAAGCGGTACTTCTTTGTCCTTGATCCTTCTAGATCCGTACATGGAAATTGCAATTCAGAGTAGAAGTATGAAAACATGATGAAATTTTATTCAAAGAAGGTTTAAGAGCAAAAACTCTCTTAAACTTTATTTAATTACAAGTGCTTTAGATCCAGTATGGATCCACTGTCTTTGAGGGTTTAGCCTCGAACGGTGTACATGAAAGTTTTCAAAATAAAAATATTTTCTCCTCCTTTCCTTCTTCTT